TTTGTAACAAATGTGAATAATTTTCATTTTGATAAGTTTATATTGGAAGATGACAATAATTCGAGAAAAATATTTGATATTATTTATCGATTCCAATATTTGTGTAAATTATTCTGTTATTAAATTTAATATCACTTAGTTTTTCTAATTATTCTTTATCAATCATTTATCAATTCACCTTTTCATCTTTTTTACTTCGTTTTCCCTCCTTCATTTGCATTTCAACACCTTTCTTTCCCTTCCATTTTTGCCTTATATTACTTTCACTTCCCATTTTGTTATCACCACCATTTCTCTGGCCACCATCAATAACTGGCTGCTTTATGCTGGACATAATTGGTGTCGAAGGAGGAGCATCATCAGTAAATTTTGCTTCAGTTCTAGTTGGATCCAAAATTTCGTAATCATCACCCATATCCTTTCAATTTTCGTTTCTAAATCAGAAATAAATTTCTTATTGCAATGAATTATTACCGGATTAAACTTTATTTTTTTTTTTTAATAAGTTTTTCACGAAACATAATTTTGGCTATTATTAGAAGATGAAGCATGTTTACCTTATAACATTATTTCAAATTTTAATTTTTCAAATTATAATCAAAATTTTATTTATGAAAATTTATGCAATACAATGATGACTGTCGTTCGCCTTTTCTTTTTCTTCTCATGTAGTTTGATTAAATTAATAAGTTTGATTTTGTTTATATGTCGAGTGATATTTGTTAAAATATCAATTAAGTACGTATATCGTATTTGGCATTGTTAGAAATCATTTGGACTGATTGATTAAATAGGATTATTTAATCTCTTAATCACTCTTTTCAATAAAATACTATTAATTACTTCACCTTATGTTTAACTCTATCATTTCTATTGTTGTATATTATAAATTGAAGATAATGGTAGGAGAAAATTTGAAAAGTTCAAATTAAATTATAGATTTGAATTACGAAACAAAGCCATTCTTACTTTTCAAACTTGTTCTCTCCCTAATCAATAAATTGAGCAAATAAATGAATCACACCAATTCTTGAAAAACAATCAGGAAAATGTCTTTTTATTTTTAACTTATCCATATTTTTATGGAAGTCAGTAATTATGCAAATTAACATAGTAAAAATATTCATTTTTAAAGCTGTTCTTCTTCAACGTAGATTCACGTAGACTTCTTCAGTTTCATGACATAGGTAAGTCACGTAAAAGATGATGTGAGTGCTTGTTTAACGAAAATTTTAGCATTTATGAGAGCTATAAGGTTCTGTCTACCAAACAATGATTCTGCTGAGATTCCAGAATTTCGTTATGTCCCATTTGTCTAGCCCGTGGTTAACAGTATCATTCGCGGTATTTGAGATGTCCTGATTAGCTGTATCCGGGATATCTCGTTTGCTTCTTCTCTTGTGCTTCTATCATATATCATCTGTGTCATGAATAAGCAATTGTCATCGGCAATTGTACCACCAGAATACGATGAGGAATTGAATCATTTGGTTAGACATTTTTGTTATTATTTTTATCATTGCTGTTGTTATTATTATTGTCCTTTTTATTAATAGTTTTGTTAGCGATAAGTAAAGTATGCGTTGCTAAGTGATAGCTAATTTAATTCCCTATTTATTTAAAAGATTCATAAAAGAACCAGAGTGTTTTTTTCATGAACCAAACTATCTCTTTCATAGAATGATTTAAAACATTTCGACGCATACGAAACAGTTTGACTAAAGCTAAATGCATTCCTCTGTATCTTTCTAAAAATGTCTATCAATTATTAGTGGGAATTGTTGAATTTTGAATTAATTTGCTTTAGTTAATTACTATCTCCATTTCATTGATTTTATGAAATCAATTTGATTTTTCCTACTGATTTAGCGGGATATTATCTGTTTCAGTTTTTTGTCAGAGATATTCCTGTGCAAAATGATAATCGCATGAAAAAATCTAATTTACGAAAGAATTTTTATAACATCTATAAAGCCTTCGTTGAAAATCGGCAGAATTTAATCAATGAATTGAGGAATATTGCAGATAAGGTATATAAGGTTTACTGACTTGCAAAATGCATAATAATGAGAAAAGTATAGGTTAAAATATGTAGCTTTATTTGATAGTTGCAATTGACTGTAGTATATATGAGTATATATGAGTTAGTGATATTGCGATGTCTGAAAAGAGAGACTATTTAACTTAGATTAATTACAATGAAATCTGTATGAAAGTCCTGAACTTATTAAAACTGTCAGTTGTGTGCTAAAAGCTAAGCTGGAAAATGTTACAATGAAGAAATGAGATTAATATATTTGTGACATTTGTCCCTCCAGAATTGCTCCTTTATTACTTTCAATTGGTGAAGTGATATCCTTGTCGATTGCTAGTAGTTCAATAAGATTAATTTAGTCCTAGCAGCTGCTTCAGCCTATTGTGCTTTTTCCAGTGATTCTTAATTGAAACTATTTTTTACAGTCGATATGCGTTAAAAAAGGCTGTACTATTTCTACAATGACTGGAAGTTCAATTGGTATTGCTGGTGGTACTGCAGCGATTGCTGGAACTGTTGTATGTCCACCGTTACTTCTCGGAGGTTTTTTTTCAATTTATTAAATTATAATAAAATGAAACTCAGTGCTGGAGGTGAAGAGATAAAGTGTTGGAACTATCAACGTCTACCATGTGAACTACTTCAAAGCTTTTCTACTTAGGATTGGTTGTTGCTGGACTTGCTACAGCTTCAAATTTGGGGACGCAATTGACTGAGTTCATGCTTTTTCGAAATATGGTCAAAAAGGTAGAACTTCTGTCAAAATACGACATCGAGTTGATGAAAGATATTGAAGACATTTATCAGGATGCATTGAATTCTGACTTGGTTGGTTGCTTCCATTCAGACAAAAATAAGCATTTTAAAAATATTTCAAAAAATGAATTTTTTGAAATTTTCTATTTTTCTTTCTTTATAGTAGTCCTTTGCTTATGTGGGGAAGTTTTTGCACTACTCTAAAGATATTCGCACGAGGCGTAACATTTCAAATTGCGCTACGTTCCAGGCAGTATTTAGTTGTAATTATGCAATCATATTAGTTATTATAATTTCCTATTTCCTTATTCTAAATATTTGATTTTCCTTCCTTTCATCCATTTTCTCACATATTTCTTTATTCTAATTTCCTTTGTCTTTTAGTTTGAAACAAATGAACAATCTGAAGGGACTTCCCAGACCATAGACACCGCAACAAATGACCTCTCATCACTAGGACTTCAAATTGGCGCTAGTGGTGCGAAAGGTGCAACCGCTTTGGGCTTACGAACTGTTGGAATTCAAGTGGTAACTTTTAATTCTTTTAACTACACGTTCAGGTCGAAAAATTTTTCACACTTGTCAGATACTGGCTCGAAGTAAAAAAATGAAACTAAATTTATGAGTTGTGAAGTGGAACATAAACAGCTTTTCAGAAGAATTGTTGAGATGTTCAACACTAACCAATACCATGACTCATGATTAGATTAAGCTTCTTAGCAGTACTTCTTGAAAGTATTTAAGAAAAATTATAGACTCAAATTGGAAGTACACTGATGCGAGGCGTTGCACGTGGTGCCATTGGAATTGGTGTTATTATCGATGGAGTGACGATGTTTCTTTCAGCGCGTCACATAGCGAAAGGTTGCTCAACAAAATTTAGTGATTGCTTAAATAATCTTGCAGATTTCAAAGAAAAAGAACTGGAAAAAATTATGACTAGGATTGATTTAAGTAATTTACTTGTAGAAGAATAAATTGTCTGGAATGTCACCGTAAAAAATTTCATTGTATATTTATGCGAATTTATTTGTTTATATCTGTCGCTTATGTAAATATTGCTACATTTTTCTGGGCTTTGGATATGAATCCGATAAATTTTAATCTAATCATTCATCACACCTGTTGTTTAGAAAAACAAAAAAAAGAGCATGGAAATTTTTTCTCCGAATTCCAAACTGAATTGTATATGTTTTGCTAATGAGTACAGTTTCTAGGCAAAATTTGATCTCATCATAACACAAAAAATGATAACAGTTAAGCAAAATATAAGATGAATGTGATGTACACAAGCTCTGGCGCAAATGGCTGTTATATTAATTATATATTTCAACGTCCGATCAAATACTCAGGGAGATAATTATGCAAAAAAAAAAAATCAGGTTGAAATAAATTATGCGCAGTGATCATAACAACTTCCACACATCCGAACATCAATTTATCCATCTTGAAAATGAAATTGGAAAGAAAAGAAAAAAATCAATAACGAATGACTAATAGAAATTCCACGTATTAACTGTAGTTATGTACTCAATTTTTTTTTTGGCTAAGCAAGCAAGGAATAACCAAGATTTTTTGGTTCAAATATTTCCTAAAGTCGTTGCATGCAATGACTAAAAGGAATCTTCAATTTGCGAAATTGGATTTCGAAGTAAAACTTTCAGGGATTAATAAGTCAACAATTTCACAGATAGTAGGAAATACAGGTAAAATAAAAGCTCAATCGTAGGTGTGAATTTAATGCTTTTTTCATTTTCTATACACAAAAATTAACACTTAGCTTAATATTACTTTTGCATGCACAGCAGGGATATTTAGTTTCTTATTATTTGGTATGCATAAAATAACCTGTTTGCATCAGAATATTCAGCTCTTCATCATACAGCGGAATGTTTTAAAAAATATAAATTTATACTTACGGTAGGTGTAACAGCGTTAAAAGTGAAAACGATGAATGCGATGGCGTAACTCTCCCGATTTAACGTTAGTACTGACCTTGCCGGCCCATAGGAAACGTAACGAGCCCTTCCCGCGGAACGCAGCAGGGTTCAGATTCAAAATGCGGAACGTCTCGTTTATTTTTCTATTGTTGATTACGAGTTCGACAATTGTTTGGTTGGCTAGTGTAATTTGTTAGGATGAAGTTTTGAAATGTTAGCATGAATTATGGTGAAATTTAAAATAGTTAAAGATTACTAATTTATCCGTGCTGTTCATATATTTGAAAAAAGTGGGATAGACCATATCGATGTCATAAATAGGAATAATTTGAAATAAATATATTTAAAGTTTGCAACAATTTATCTCTTCTGCACTATTAATAGCATCGAAATGTATAAAGCAATAAGCAATTGATTACAATTGAATATAGTTAAATCTGAGAACAAGTTCATTTCAATTAAATGCTGTTGTTTTTTCTAAAAAACTAACAGATGTAATGAATGTTATGAAAGATTTACTTGTTTTAGAATGTTGAAACGGAAAGTGGAAACATCAGTAGATGTGGCAAATTCGCATGCTGATGATGGAAATGAAGGCACTTCTACATTAAAGAAGAGGAAAGGTAAGTATTACATTATAGTTATTTGACTATCATTTATATGTCAATAAAAATTCGGGCTTTTAGGGCTAATATGATAAGTGCTTGTCCATTATCAGTTGAGAGAAATATGGATGTAGAAAAGATATATTAGTATTATCTGTTCTTTTTCTCATTCTTATTATCATTATCATAATTTATATTATGCTGTCGTCATAATCGTTAATAATAATTATTACTATTACTATTATCAGTTAATATTAATATGTTACTCTATATTACATATCATTTTATTTGTATTTGCCAGTACATTTTCTAGTTAAATTTCAAAGCAAATTTTTTTCATAACAAATATTGAATATTATGTTTAAATTACAGTACTTCCTTATGAAGAAACATACCTGCATTCAATACCACGTGCAGCTCAGTACGAGAAATCGTTCATGCACCGTGATACTGTAACTCATGTTATCGGAACTGAGTATGTTTTTTTCAACTTATTTTTTTCTCAACATCATTTCAATTTTTTTCAGCTTTTCCTCTCCAGACTGTTCTCACAATATCTTTTTTAGTTGTCATTAAAGGCATGTAAGTAAGGGAATAACATAGGTTGTATACTTCATTTGAATTAATAACGCATTAATAAATTTTTTTTTGATATTGCATTATTTATTTTTCACCTGCTAATTACTTCGAAATTAAGTAGTTAGGATTAATCAAGATTTTATCCCTTTTAGAACAGATTTCATCATAACAGCAAGTGCAGATGGACATTTGAAGTTCTGGAAGAAAAAGCATGGTGAAGGAATTGAATTTGTCAAACATTTTCGCTGCCATCTTCGTTAGTTTATATTTTATTAAATAATGAGAAACTTATCGGAATTATGATATTTGGAAAAACTAAACTCAAATTTTACATAGCAATGATCAACTTTTTAATATTTGCCATTGATGAAACGACATACAGTTAATCTCATTTTCCAAAAGCGAATTTGAGATTGATATTTTAAGGTCATTTTTTATGATTATTCAGGCGTTTTTCGAGACGTGAAAATGGAGATAGTATTGAGTTTTAGTATTGTGTGTGCTTCAAATGACCTAAATTAGGTGATGTTTTTTGTATTTTACAGATGCTTTTTCCCACTTGGCGATCAATCACAATGGAACATTAATGGCAACGCTTTGTATGCAAGACAAATCAGTGAAAATATTTGATATACCCAATTTCGATATGATCAATATGCTCAGTACAGAATTTGCTCCTAGAACTGCCGCATGGATACATCAAGGTTAGCATAATTCAATGAGTTCGATTCTTTAATTGAACCGTTATCCAATTATTCTTTTTCGAGTTGAAATTTCTTCATTTTAGGGCAGTGCTTTTTATCTCTTCCCGATTAGGTATAAGTATACTGCAGTGGAAAGCTAAATATTGACAAACGTAATTTATAAATAATTAGTCATTGAGGAAAATTTTTGCTATTTATTTGAATATTCACGATACAGATTCGAATTTTTTTGAGAATTCCATGGCTGGAGATTTTTTACAGGAAATGATGTTGTGCAGGTGTTAGCTGTGTCAGATTCGGAGTCTGGGAAAATCTATATTTATGATGGCAAAGGGGAAGATAAACCAATTCATGTTCTAGATAAAATTCATTCAAATCCTGTGAAATTGATTGAGGTGCGTCGTTTCACCATTATATTTGACTTAATTATTACGGACTTGGAGAAATTTTTAAACAAAAGAGGAAGTATTTTTTTATCAGTTGATTATAATTTTAGAGGATTATGTATATACTAAAACCGCAAAAAAATTCACATCCATATGTGAATTCACAGCCTCGACATTTTTAGTATAATTCACATTTTGATTGTGCTATTTCTGTCGATGCGAAGGGAATGTTAGAATACTGGTCTGGTCCGAAGCGCGAATATCAGTTTCCGGATAATGTGAAGTGGACGTACAAAACAGATACTGATCTCTATGAATTTGTTAAAGTCAGTAAAAATCTTTGTTTTACATTTGACGCAACCAGTTGCTTTATTTTAGTATATATATATATATATATATATATTCTTACACTGTATTACTTTTATTTTTCCATGTTTGGTGATTTGTTAGATATGTTTCTGTGATAATTTTCAACGTACTTTTTTTTTAGCATAATTTGTAGCTGTGAATTGTTTCATTGCTATGTGCCATGTCAGGAAAACAATAAGAGATGTGGATTAACATAAAAATCGTTTTATATTTTTTTGTTAGCTTTTCAGAATTTTTGTTCTGGAATTACTGACTTCATAGTTTTAGGTTAAAGCACCACCACGTTGTTTGCAAATAGCACCAAATGGTAAATCATTTGCTACAGTTGGAGCAGATCGACGTATTCGATTGTTTGATTTCGCTACTGGAAAGTTAATAAAAGTGATCGAT